CGTGTGTGCGTGGGTGTGCGCGTGCGTGTGTGCGCGGCGGGCAATCAGGCACAATCTGCCGACCATCCTGCCGCGCCAGTTCTGACCAGAGTTAGACTCGGGCCGGTGAAATTGGATGGGAAAGGCATAAAAGACTGTGCCATCTCCGCTTCGCGTGCAAAGCTAAGCTATTCGCGGGGTGGGAGGGCAAACAGCGGCCTCCGTGATTGGACCTTACAGTGTGTACCTTACTAGTACCTGGTATAACCAGGTATAACAAGCCGCGAGTTAGGTAGCCGAATGATTTCGTTCGAGGCTCAGACATGTCCTCCCCTTGGTGCTTTCGCGCACACTATACTCGCCCTAACAGTCGTGTCCTCGTTCGGCCCGCAGGGATCTGCCTGACGTCCGACATCGACGTGCTGCTGTACCACATGAACAACGCTCGCTACCTGCGCGAGGTCGACTTCGCCCGCATCGACTTCTACCAGCGCACGGGGCTGCTGTCGCACATCCGCGCCAAGGGCGGTGGCGTGGTGCAGGGCGCCGCCACCATCCGCTACCGCCGCTTTATCCGGCCCTTCACGATCTTCCGCATCGACTCCAGGGTGAGCGTGAGCGTGCCGGCAGGCGTGCGTGGAACCCACCACAATTCCTCTTCCAAATTGGAAAGGCTTATTACATGATCACTTATTGGCGTTGTTTTGTCCCACGCTTGTTGCAGATCATCTACTGGGACAGCACGAGCATCTTCATGGAGCACAGGTTCGTCACCCCCAAGGACAACTTCGTGCGCGCCATCGCCGTCTGCCGGCAGCGGGTCATCGACTGCAACGCCGAGGAGATCATGACGGACCTGCTGCTGAGGCCCGAGCCCAAGATGGCCAACCAGCTGACGGGCGTGACCAACCCCAGCGCCGTCATCGAGATGGAGCCCGAGGACAAGGACAACAAAATGCACACCGTGGTGCTGGATCCCGTGAGGCCCGACGGCCTCCCTGCCAAGCCCGCGCTGCCGCTCGAGGTGGCCAAGTGGTTGGAGAGCAACGAGATCTCGAGCGCGAACCTGCGGAACGGCTGCTGAGCGTTGAGAACAAGAGTTGAAACTCTGGACATAGTTCTTTCAAACACCCTTACGCCTACCTGTTCCTTCGAAACGTGAGAAACGGGCGACTGTGTTGCAGCTCTTCGCCTGAAGCTCGACTGGAGAAATTGGAACAAAGTGAAAAATGGTTACACATTTCTGCTGACACTGGCTGGGTGGGTGGAATGCTCTGAAGCGACGCGCGGGGCCGCGTGCCTCGGGGAAGACCAAATCATGTGGTGCTAGTCAAGTCCCTCGGACCCGTTCAAGTGGGAAATGATCACCGGCCGATATGTTGAATTGACTTGTTTTTATGTCATCGAAAATATGTTAGTCGACGCTTTGCGGCCGAATCATTTCTCTTGCTGTCAGGTTTTCCGAGGAACTCACTTTATTTTGACAACGCGGCGTGCTTCACGTACGTTCTTTTCAATGCGCGTTGTTTCACCTAAGTATAAAATGATCGTTAGTTGTTTTAATTTAAATTACATGGATCGTGGTGGATTTCCCGAAACGTGATATTAGTTTGATAGCCTGTGTACTGTTAACAAAAAGAAAATCCTTGGCCCCAATACCTTACTGACAATTAGTAAACGGGTGAGGCGATTAATTTCACAGAGTTAACTGCTCAAAGGATTTAGTCATGAGGAGACAATCAAAAGAAGATGGGACCAGGATCGCGCTGAGGGGACACA